TCCGTGTCCAGGGGAGCGTCGCAGGTATGTCCTCAGCGGTGTTCCGTGCAGGTATGGTTATCCTTTAGAAAAAGTGAGAGAAGAAAAACGGACCGAGCAAACTGCCAAGGTAATTGAACATGATTATGTTAATGTATAACTAAAACATTTATGGTAAAGTTATGTCGGTTAAAAGCACTGGAACGACCGAATATCTTAAGCATCATATCCGTAGTTTTACGCGCAAGCACGTGAACCAATATTTGCTGAATGTGAAAGACAAATGCTGCCCGAATTTGCCTCGCGTACGCAAAAGTTGTCCTGTGTGGAAACCGAGAGTACCAGGCATTGTTAACCGGTAAATGAGTTGAGGGAAGCAGAAGAACATAGTGAGTGGTTTACTATGCGCTTAAGATATAGGTTGAGCGAACGATTGACCTTGGTAGAGCTTATCGTTCGAACATGTATAAGAGCCAGTTGAGTTACTACGTCAGGTTTGAGACCCATGAAAATAATAGCATGACACGTTCAGTAATCGGATGATAGAGAAACAGCTGGGTGATGGGGTGAGACGGACTGCCAAAGTTGTGACGAGAATGGTTTTTTATATACTACAGCTGTAGCGAGAATGCGGTTGCGAAGCCAGCCTCAAAGGGACATGGAATAGCGGAAAAGGATAGGGACTTCTACAGTGCAGCAAACAAGTCAAATGGACGACAGGAAAAAGCGATACTGGGAGTCGGGTTAATTATGAGGAAGAAACTGCCCGCTGCTAGGCCTTCAGCGATAAGAACAGGAGCGACAAGGGCTGGAATACTACGGATGTAGAGAGGAAATGGTTCTAGAGCCAACAGTAAAAGGGACCAGTAATATCAGTTTCGTGAGCAGCAGCCCCAAAAACTGCTAGGTGTGCCACACTTAGGTGGACATCTACGGTAGAACGTTGAAGCCAGATAGGCTGCTATTTATAACTCAATAATTAGTGAGTTGCTGGCAGCCTGATTAATTAATATACAGGAGCGGCACGCTTTATTAGGCTCGGAATAGAGTGATAGGTTTACTGTGTTGAATACAAGAGGGAGAACAGACAGCAATAATTGCAACAGCTGTAGAGAGAAAACGACAGTAGAGCCGGCAGTGGAAGTGACCAAGGCTAGGGGAATAATTCAGATAGCACCGCTAAGTGCTAAGTGTTTCACTCGAAGAGTTGCGATATTGGCCAGATGAGATGCCGAACAAGTATACAGTAGAGTATGGTTAAACATAGGAGTGGATGAGACCCGAAAACGTTCAGGTGCTCAGAATCTGGTGCTGGTGGAATAAGAATGGCATCGATCCAATAGACGAGGATATGAACACTACCAAGAGTATGGCCGCCTATGCTCAAAAGAAGAGAGGCATTGGTTAGAGCACTATGGGCATTTGAAGCCTCAGAGACCGGACTGGTCCAAGAGGTTTAAGCATGAGATGCACAGTAGTGAAGGGAATCTAGCGAGGACTGAGATTTTGAGCTGGCACTATGGGTACCTATGCCACTATTGAAGAGTTGCCATATGAACCAGAAGAGGTGCTGAACGCAATGTACACAGATTGGGATCAAGCATAGTGGTAGATGAGATCTGAAAATGTACAAGTGAGACAGGTCTCCTTATGACACTTCACGTCCTGCTCGCTGCAACAATTTTATTTAATCTCATGGGTAGGTTTTAGATCAGAGGATACTTTTGTCCCCAGGTCCTTTTCCTGTATGGCAACCTTGAGTAGGTGCCCGCCAATGTGATAGACGCCCAGTAGTACAGCAGCACCTATGGAAAGAGCAGCGCGCTTATCTTTGTTGACCGGCAAATCCCACGTGATCGACCAAGAGTGCAGTAGATCAAGAGTTTCCCGTAATCGGTCGGTGTCTTCGGGACTGGACACGTCCGACCATAGATTGAGGTAGTCTGCAGAAATCCGGCAGTCCGTTGGTAGCATGCTTGGTAAGCCATTGATATCTATCTTGAACAGTTCCGAGCCGAGAACGGAGCCTTTTGGTACACCACTGCACATAGACACTGGAAAGGAAAGGCTATCGTTTACGTTGACTTGCATGTTCCGGCTTTGCAAGCAGTCACTGACCCATAGTAGGAGGTTCCCCGTTATGCCAATTCCGCAGAGCACAGAGAGTAGTTCCTGATGATGGACTCCGTCAAAAGCTTTGTTGAAGTCGATGGAGACCACGTCTAAACGTATTCCATTGCTTTAGACCACTGCTCTATAGCGACCAGCAGATTAGTGATGCAAGAATATCCCTTTCGGAAGCTATGCTGAGTAGACGAAGTGAAGTTCAGCTGTTCACAGTGCCGGTGGATGACACATTTACGGAACATTTCCATGATCTTGCGGGCGACAGACGTCAAGCAAATTGACCGCCAGTTCGCAGGGTCCATACGGTTTCCATCCTTTTAGTTCGGCATAAATACACCCGTCTTCCAATCTACAGTTAGCGGTCCAGTTTTAAGAGAGTTGAAAAGTTTGACAAGTTGGACGGCAATGAAGTTTGCTACCATCTTGAGAAAATGGGGTGTAGCCAGTCTGGGCCTGGTGAGGAAGATAAGCTTAGTTTTAGTAATAGCTTCACGGTAGCATCTGCATCGATATCGATATGTTCCAGAAGTACTGTATGTGCAAGTGCATGGGGGTTGCGAGTTTGTCTCCCTACTTGTATACTGAGGAGAACTGTAGAGTCAAGCGGTCAGTTTTGGTGTCATCAACACAGTGTTATAACCGGCTCATTAGTAGACAATGCAGGAATTCCACAGCCTATCTTGAAAGGTCTGTTAAGGTATGAACATAGTCGCTTTGGCCTAGAAAGGGATTGTTCGGCCCGGCTATGCCCGCATTGCAGTCTCTTCACGTCGCTGCAGGGAGCAGGGGTTCCCGGCGGCCTTGTATTTAGAGTAGTCTGAGTCTAAGCGGAACAATTTTAATCTGCCCCATAGGTTTCATCGTTGTTTCAGGTTGGTCATGAGTTCTCGGTCGATCCAGGGTGACCCTTAGGGAGAAGGCTGTTACTGTCGAATGGAACGACCTCCTCAATGAATAGCTTCAACTTGTAGAATAGATCGTTCTAAGCAGCATCAATTTCCAAGTGTTGTGGAACATTCCAGTCTAGCGTATTTGCTGCCGCCCTCAGCTTGAGCGCGTCTGTCCGCCAGAAGTTTTGACAGTGTGCGTTCCTGGCTCGGATGGCAAGACGCTTAGTCCATAAGAAGGAGATTGTACCATGGTCGTTTGTACCTGTGGGCGGTAGAATGGTCGATGCTAAGACAGCTGACAGAGCCGAAGTGAGCACAATATCAAGAATTGATGAGTCTGGCCGGGAAGCAGCGGCGTGGGCGAGGTTAAATGCCGGGTGAAATTCATTTTGAGGACAGTTGCAAGGAGACTGGAGTCAAAGGACTCGGGTGAAAGGCGGCAGTGTGGTACGTCCCAATTGACCTCCGGGGCACTGAAGTCACCCAGAGTAAGACAATCTCTGCGGTGACCAGACGAGTTGATAAAGTCTAGCACAGAGGTGCCATGTCACCACGGAGCTTTGTAGAAAACGCCAACCATAAGAGATTTGAAGCCATCAGTGCTCCTACACCAGAGCAGCTCTGCGTCACCAACAGCGTCGATGCCGGCTTCTACGAGATGAACTTTAAGATCCCCTTTTCAGTAGAGAACTACGCCGCCACAATCTCTTGCTCTAGTACGGTCAGTACGGAACACTTGATAGCTTGAGATGTAGATCTCAATTCGGAGATATCTGATGTGAGCCAGGAATCAGTGAAGGCCAACACGTCAGGCAGCAGCTTTACGGTAAGAGGGTGTACTTCAGCCAATTTAGTTCGGAGGCTGCGAACGTGTGCAGCCATCACCTGTAGTCCATCCTTCTTCCTTCCTGGAGAGGACGCACAGTGGCTTCCAGCGGGACCTCTGTACTTGCTGCACCACCTGAAAATCCACGATGTGCAAGTTGGTCTCGCCATTTGCTCTACGGGTTTGTAATTCGTTAACTGCTTTCCTCATTTCGGTTCGCTGTTCAAGGGAGAAGTCTCTAAGAACATAAAATTTTACCCTTGAGGCGTGAGGTCCGTCCAAGGATACGGCGGCACCCTTCTTCATCCTGAATGTCAACTTTGAGAGGACGAGTTGATGGGGTCTTCTCGCTTTCTCCCAAGGCGAAATGCAGAAATAAACTTAATCACTTTTTCCCCACTATCAAATAGAAGAGTGACCATGTGCTTTAAGGATGCTTGCTCGTCCTGTATCCTTTCTGCTGGTATCTCCCTATTAAACTCCGGAGTATTTACGATGATTAGGCACCATTCATGGGAGGGACGTTTGTTTCCATCAACTTTATGTTAAGAAGAATCCTGATAGAAACGTTTAAGAACATGTAAGTTTCCAGTGGCGTTAAGCTTAACATTTATCTTGTTCTAGCTACATAAGTTTGCCTGCAAGTACTCTATCTGAAGCTCAGGCAGCGTGGTCCTTGCCGGGTACACAATGGAACCTCTTCCCGAACAACGCAGTAGATAGTTACCAGTCACTTTCACATGCGCAATTGGAATGTAATACCATAGATAACTTAAAGAGGCATAGACATAATTTGTTCCATGCTAGTCCTAGAAATGCAATGAGATTAATGGCTTTGTAGCATGTAAATCGGGGTCAACCGGATGGCTTGCATATTTTCCTGAATTTATGAGAAGTTTCTTGTATTAGTTTTGTCTCCGTTGGCAGAAAACAGAACCTTTGGACTTTGAAGTGCCGGGTGCCAGAGTTTTCTTACTGACACCCGTAACGGAGGCCAGTTAGGACGAATGCCTGTTTCTTTCCAGGAGACTGACTCGACTCGATCAGACCTGATCGTTTCCCTACCCATAGTTTAATTCTGATAAGATCTGCAGGTCATTCGAACAAATAACGGTATGATAAGTTTTGTTTAGGATGCACTATATTAACTAAACTACTTGAGGTTGCATGTTGTTAATGTTGTGTTTAAACCATTGAACCTTAAACATGACCTTTATAATTGAGGTCGAATAAATTCAATCGCTAATTTTCTTATCGTGGGACACTTCGGCCTACACTGTAAAATGAGCACCACGTGGACTACATTCATAACTCTAACTTGTTTACTGACAAGTTCCTCATCGTACAACGCTGGAAGCGATTCAGCTGATACTCCATTCTATGTCATTAAGGATAGAGATTCGTACTGCCTTCTTGCACGTTTTAATCTATCCGTGGATATCCACTATCCTAAACAGGTAAACCGAAATACGCAAATGTATGTGTAGAGTAGATATGCACTAGCTGCCTGAGTTTAAAATTTTGTGCTTGCGAAGGCTCATGACCGTCATTCAACCTATCCGAATGAATATAGCATACATGTCGCATCACTACAAACTCTCTGTTTCTTCTTATTTTTCTCTTCATTTTTTGATGCCCTTAGTATACTTTTCTGTATAAAAATTGTCGTTGACAAATATATATATTGCACTTGCTTTTTATTAGCACGCTGGCCTCCTTAATATGGGATTTACAAACGTGTAACCGCAAAGCAAAAGTGAACAAAATATGTCCACTGTAGTAAATGTTAGAGCACCATAAGGGGTTTCTGTATGCTTCTGGCAACTCAGCTGGACACCTTTTTTGGTCGCTCCGAAACTTTTTCCAGCGCAACCTTAATATATACTGTAGGTGCCTATTTTACGTTTGCAAATACCGTCACATATATAACTGAGATTAATTCCAAAGGTAGAATTACTCAACACTTAAGCAGCAAAACTAAACCAACTATTTATAAAGTCACCGGAATTCGTCCCATATGTATTCAAGTGGGACGGTTAGGGAAATTAATGTGATTTATCTAGGCGCTGAAACGGTCACGCGTACTGAATATAATTACGATTTTATTTAACTGATAAAATCTATCGACGAAGGAAATAGACATTAGATGCATAATAATTTTTAGCTACACACCTGGACATACTACGTTGTTCATCTCTTTTCTAATTTTGCCCCCGGAAATGATCAAAAACTAGCCAATCTGGGATGACTGGCCGACCATCTGTACGGTAAAGTTGGGTATGCAATATATATATATATATATATATATGCGCAACTTAACTACGTACTCTTCTCGTGTGGTGTACCATTTGATAGGTACTGTGTTTATACTAAAATAAACCCACGATTGTGCTCAAAAAACAACACCAAATGCATTGCAAGCTTCAATTGCCCTGTAGAATGGTCTATTCATATCAAAGCTGATAAATAATTTTAAAGCAAATGTATTGTAAGAAGGTGCACTTTACTTACCACGTAAAAGCGAACAGGCCAAGGAAACTTTGAGGCCCTTGTAAATAGACACCATAATTTTTCATATAATGATAATGCTATAAAAATAAGTAGTGTTTGTAAATATGTTGGTAAGATTAAAGTTATAATTGTCGGAGTGATTTGTGACTAAATTACCCACAGGTTCTTATTAGGATGTCCAAACCATTTGTTTTGTTATAACCTTCGTGTTTGAATGTTTTGATGCTCTGATCAGTAAACCTACCATATATTGTTATCTCAGTTCCAAGACAATTAGTTATAGATATATAGACACTTGATGAAAGCTCAAGTGCAAGTTACATCTTAGTTAACATAAAGCAATGCAAAGTTTGGCCTTATTTATGTTAATTTAAGAACAGGTAATATAAAAATACCTTGCCTTGCCCTTTAAAGGCTAGAAAATATAAGTAAAATAACATTGTATAGGATAGACTAGGCTATTGTTTACCTTTTTGCAAAATCTTGGCATACTTGTTGGTTCGACGTGCATGAAACTAACGTTAATCGCCATGCGTAGTAACAACATCTTTGCTGAGCAAGTGACTAAAATGTATTGCCAGGGTGACCTTTGCTTGCCCCCAGCCATCCCAATTGGATCTTGTTGAACAGTGTTTGGTCACTCAGAAGGTATTAGCAGCACACACCTTATAACGCAAATCCATTTCCCTGGTTTTAAATACGGTAAAGTTTAAGCTGCAATCAATTCCTAACCTTGAGTTAGTAAAACTATAGCCTTTAGTCAAACTAAAAGCTTGGCGCTAGCAGTAACAAATCTTATGAGCAATACGTATGTTTGGTAGTGTCTATAGCTAAGTTTTGACAACATAGTAAGATAAACGACCTGATGAACCTGCTCATCCTTATTAATAAAATAATCACCAAACGCAATTGGCCTTTTAGTAATATATTTTACTAGCAAAAAACACCCCAGATAAGCTGACCTTATGGGTTGACTGCGATACAAGTTTTTTAACAGGTGTATTCACTTTAGTATGGAACTTTTACCACTGGAGTGTGTGTTAATTTTATTTTTGTTTCGCTACACAATGTCATAATTCATGTTCCAAATAATGCAAAAGAACTATTGGGAATAGTTGGTAAACGTTGTGACATTTATGATTGATATTGTTTCTTACTTATAGTGAATCCGCGTTGCATCATAGCCAGAGTTAAACATGCGCATGCAGTGCAGATACAGCTGAAACAATAATAGCTTTATGAATGACATGCAATGCAAGGGAGCTCGCAGCAACAGTGCATTATTGAACATTTGGCAGCTGTCCATTAAGCAGTGTAGTAGACAACGTAGATGGCTGCGATAACTCCTTCATAATTACCATACATACAACACGCTTAGCTTACTTAACCACTCAATCTGTCTCAAGGATGGCTATGAATTTGACCGCAAAACGTTTCGTAACGCTTAACGTTTGATAAATAGTCAATCATCGACAGGTTAGAAAGTGCATACTGCACAAGTTGGACAACGTTCCGATAACATCACTTTATGTGCTATTAACCTAGCATCTACGACACTATGCTGCATTTGTTATACAGCGCTATATTTTTGCTGGAATTGACCATATTTACCTCTATCATAAGTAATGTTTATATTTCTTTAGCGTACAATGCATTTGAATACATACCTTGGGTTTGGTCACTTGGTACTTATTTTAAATTCCGCGAAGTAAGGAAGGTCAACCGTTAATTTGCACAAGCGGTAACTCTCTAACTCATTTTAGTGACCATGAATGTTCATATTTTTGATCCTATAGTGCCATTAATCGGCACAGCGTGGGCGGTCCGTGTCAACCGTTCTCCATAACAACTATTATCTTTAGTTTGTTTACCTTAATACACCATTGTTTAACTTAAATAGCAGAGGTTTCCATACACTCTAGCCTATTGGACTTAGTTGTATCTACTGCGCATTTTAAATGACTATCAACTCATAGGGCATAGCAATACGAGTAACTTTTGAACTTCTTAGTGACAAAACATACACCTTTTACTTTGGATTGGTGCACAAAGGAGGCGCAAAGAGCGAATATGAACAGCTCTACACAGCGGTTTAATTAACGGATAGAAACCAGACATATTCCATATTCGCTATTTCAGAGAAAATAGGGAATTCGACTGCACTGGATTGGAAAACACTAACATTAGAACATTTTATTAAATGAGAATAGAAAAACACGCTTTACACAACCCATAGGTTAAAAAGAGGTCAGGTTGGGTCTGCTGTAAGTCCAAGCAAACTTTTAGCGGGTTTAACGTGTGAGTTATCCGTATCTTAATTGGGCTTATGCGGCATTTAAACGGAATGTACGACGGCTCAAAGCGTGACATCGCACCACATCCTCCAAAACAATATCTATACAATCTTGTATACTATATTCCCTAAGAATTCTTAACTTGTTTATCTTAAATTGCCGTTGTATTATGCATGCTAACTAGAAAAAATCGCTAAAAGAAAGCAGAAAACCTAAACGATGGTACATTAAAGCATTTAGTTGCATGCTAATTATTAGCATATCTTGTGGTATTTCGAAAACCTGCGGCTTAAACAAGTTTGGTTGCAAAGATTGCAGCAACTTGTTATACTGCTGTGTTATCCGATAGACAAAGCACATTTAGCCCTTTCAGCAGAACCTAGTATTCAGCACGGTTAAATCTGTAAAGTCAAGACAATGGTTAATTACTACTTACCAAGTGACTTAGACGAATATGCTTTTCAATTTCTCTCTGTCTAAACTTTATCCTTCTGTATATTAGGCTATCGGTCACTAGCAATGGTTGTAAGAATACAAGGTTCTGTAATAAATTCGAATTCACTTGTACTGTTATTTTGATTATGGTCTCGAGGGAAAAATTTATTTAAAGGTCTGTTTCAATTAGAACTCATACTTTGTAGATGAAGGCGAAACTTATGTACACAATATAAGCGTCTCCTTTTTGGGTGGACAACCCACACGCTTTGTTATCCCCGCACAACAAACCGAGGTATTAAGGAGTATTAACGCTTATTGGAATCACTTTTATGAGGCAGATGCTCTATGCCGGTAAATCACCCATTAAGTAGTGTAACTCGAGAACCAACGTTAGATTATTGTCTTTATACCGAAGCGTATTATAAACCCAAAATAGGTTACAAGCACTCAGCTATCTAAAAACAGTTAACTGTCCGCCGTCATAATCCTGCCCGTTGCCTAAAGTTAACGAGCTTGTCTCGTAATCTGACGACACGAGTTCGAGCCTGCATCGGGACAGGGAGACCCTCGCAGTATCCTTATCTCACGTGCCGCCGGCGGTGGTTGCGCGGCATCGAAGCGTCGGTACTGCGTACCGGCGTACTACTGATGTCTTTTTTTCCGCCGCCGTAATTAGATACAAAACGCACACCGAATACATAAGGAACCTACATCATCGACAATTTAAGGGACGTCACACTTTGCCAATAACAGCGTAGGGCATGGATTGTATCTCGTTTTCCTAGCGTTTTCAGTCATTTTTTGAGTATAATCCCCCCTGTTGCAAAATATTTGTGTTGCTTACAGTAATAGAAACCGTATGTTAAGAAGTATAACAGATAACATAAAAATGATTGTTACGATCGGTATCATGGACAAAAAGATCCATTTTAAAGGCTTACTGAAAAGCACAATATATATGGAAGGCCAACTTTGAATAAAATGCTGTGATTTTAACAGTGGTAACTGGCTTTAAATTGTGCACTGACCAAAACAACTATATTGCGTTTCACTGACTTTCATTCCAAGCTACTGCGTAACAAACTGGAAGTACATCGCCTTGCATTAAGTTTAATGAAACTGATTGCAACCCCCGACAAACCCGGAATTTAGAATAATAGATAGCAACTCTAAAGTATATTTCTCTTTTGACTGCCACAGATGACGCGCGTGCT